AAAAAAAAAAAAAAAAGCTTCATTTCTCTCAGAAATGCCTCGCTTCTGTACACTTTGGGGGGCTTATCGCTGACATTTCTTTCCTAAAAGGTGGAGAATCCTGGGGCAGAGATCCCCACAGGTCAGTGTGCTGCATTCCCGGGCTCCAGCCCTTTGGCAGTGCCCTGCTCCAGGCAGAGTGAGGGATGTGCGCTTGGGGTATAAGGCCTTGACACAGGCCTGCAGGTGATACCTGGGCTCCGAGGCACCCAGCCACACGCAGGTGGCCCAGTGCAGGGTGGCTCTGTCTCAGACTGATCCTTCTCGTAATCGGGGCTTGAGTGTCGCTCTCCTGCAGAAGGGGAGCGTCCTGTAGCCTTGGGACCTTTTAGGGAGCTACAGTCTGAAGAGATTTGGGAATTCCCTCTGGCTTCTGCTCCACTGTTCCCAGCAGCCACCTGCAGGTGTCACTGCCTGGGTGGAGGGAAAGGAATGAGGTGGAGATGGGCAGGGATCCGAAGTCTGCAGAGCAACAGAAGCAGCTCAGCTCTGCCTTGGGACTTTTGTCACTCGTGTGTGTGTGTGTGTGTGTGTGTGTGTGTGTGTGCGCTGGAGAATGAACCCAGGGCCTTCACCGAACTACATCCCTAACCCTTTTTTATTCTTTATCTTGAGTCAAGGCCTTGCTAAATCCCTAAATCGCACAAGCTGGCCTCTAACTTGCGACCCTCCTGTCTCACCCATCCAGACCGCTGGGCCCGGCTCCAAGGTAACCGACTGCCTGGGAAGCCTGCCTCCTCCCTTCTAAGCAAGCTCACACACGACCGACCTTGCAGAACCTGGTTGAGGAAGTTCTTCATCATATAGATGGCCGTGGTGTCTTCCGTGGCCACGTGGCTGTCTGTGAACCAGCCGTTCTCGGCGATCAGGATTCGGGGGTTGCCGTACTCCAGCTTGATCCAGTTCAATACTTGTCGCAAACTGAGGGACACATTTTGTCCCATTTTCGGCACGGTACTCGGGGGCTTGAAGTTGTTGGGGCCAAAAGAGAGGGCGAAGAAGTCGGCCGTGCCCCTCACCTGCTGATGCTCCGCGGCCGAGAAGCGCGGCAGCGCGGCGCGCAGCTCCTCCCGCAGGCCGGCCGGGTAGTCCCCGCGCCCGTGCACCGGGCCCGCGAACCAGCCCAGCACGGCCGCCACCGACTGCTGGCACCGCGCAGCGTCCGCGGCAGCTTCTGAGCGGCTTGGCTCGACCCAGTGGGAGCCCAGCGTGAGGGACAGCCAGCCTCCCTGGTGCGGGCGGAAGGTCCTGTCGTAGGTGTGCCAGACCTTTGCGTGAGCCTGGAAGGAGAAAGCGGGTTAGCGGTCTCGCTCGCAGCAGTGCTGGTGGGAAGCCCGCTCGCTGGGGATCCCGGACTAGTGTTTTCTGGTCTTTGCTACAGGGTTTCTCTATGGAGCCCAGAAAACCTCGAGCTCACAGCGATCTTCCTGTCTCAGCTTCCTCAGTGCTGGGATTATGGGTTTAGACTTGTTGTTTGTACTGGGAATTGAACCTAGGGATGACCCCCCCACCCACCTTTAGAGACAGGTTTTCCCTTTGTAGCCCAAACTGGTCTTGTACTAGGGACACTCAACTCCTCAGCCTCAGTACTGGTACAATTATGTGCCACCATGCCCAGTTTACTGGCTCTTTCCTTTCCTCTCCTCCTCTCCCCTCCCCTCCCTTCCTCTCCCCTCCCCTCTCTTCTCTTTCTCCTTCTCCCTCTCCCTCTCTTTCTTTCTTTCATTTTGAGATTGGGCCTTACTAAATTGCCCATACTGTGCCTGAGCTTTTGCCCTTCCCACCTTAGACTTGCAGAGTGCTGGGATTACAGGCCTGTGCCACCGTTCCTGGCTTCATAGACAAAATTAATGAAGCAAGAGCTGAACATGGTGGCACATGCCTATAATCCCAGCACTTGGAAGGCTGAGGCAGGAGGATTGCTGTGCATTTGAGGGCAGCCTGGGCTACATAGTGACACCTTGTCCCCCAAAACCAGAACCAAGCAAAATTAATGAAGCACGAGGTGAATTAGGTGACCCCTGTGGAATTCCCCAGTGCTTCCAACCTAGAATTCTCCTGCAGGCCCTGGTCCAGGTGTGTCTGACTTTTCTCTGCCTTGCTCCTTTCCCAGCTCTCCTGAGGCAGGGTCCAGGCAGGTACTATGTGGGCCACAGGGTCTCTGCTTATACAGAGACAGAGCAGGATGGCTCCCTGGTCTGTGCATTCTCCTGGTGGTCCCAATTAGGAAGTCAGAGATGGCTCAGGCTCTGGATCCCATGAATGGGTCTGAGGAAGCCACCCTCGGGGCTCTTGTAAGGGTTGAATGAGTTCCCACAGGTGGTTTTGGGACAGTGTGTGGCCTAGAGTGGCACTGCCTGATCCTTTGCTGTCACTCTGATTACTGTGGGAGGTGGCGGTGGGACAGAGCAGTAGAGCCGTGAAGAGTGTGGGCTTGGTGTCAGCTCACTGCATGACCTGAGCCCTCGGCATTCCACTGAAGAGCAAGAGTGGTCACACCACGTCCTTTGTGAGGCGATTGTCTGGGTTGCACAAAGCACTAACTGGATTCCACTGTGCCTGGGCTTCTCAGGGACTCCCTTGTTAGGTGAGATCCTGTAACCAAGGTGGTGGACTTTATTTATTTATTTATTGTACTTGAAATTGAATCTAGGGCTACTGAGCTACATCACTAGGCTCCCCTCTTTTTATTTTAATTAATTAGTTAATTAATTAATTTATTTATTTTTGCAGTACTGGGGATTGAACTCAGGACCCTGTATTTGCCAGGCAAATATTTATTCTACTCAGCTATCTCCCTGGCCCACCTCTTTTTATTTTGAGTCAGGGTTTTGCTAAGTGGCTGTCCCCAAACTTTTGAGCCTCCTGCCTCAGTCTCCTGTGTATCTGGGATTATGGGATGCACTACTGTACCTGATTTTGAGCAGTGAATTTTTTTTTTTTTTTTTTTTCTGAACCAGGGATTGAATTTAGGCCCTTGTGCTTGCCAGGGACATGCTTATTCTGAGCCATTGCCCTGTCCCCTGAGCACAGATCTGGTTAGGGGAGGGAAAGTAGCCACTGATGTGAGGGCTGAGGGCCCAAAACTGGTGCCACCTTGCTCTGTGTAGGAAAGGCTAATTTCAGTCATTCCTAGAAGATTGTCTAGAACAGTAGTGGCCTTACATGACCTTTGTCTATCTGTCTGACTGTCCTTTACTCAGTTCTCATTGACAGCTCCCAGAGTCACTCATTACCCAAGTGTCCCCAAGGACTGTTATCAGTGTTTCCTCCTCAGGAGTGTCTGGGCTATCCCTCCCCATAAGCCTGCACCCTAAAGTGAGAGCCCTTGGAGGAGTCCCGGAAGGACTGCATCATGAACACTCATGGCCTCTCCCTGGGCTTTTCTGGGGGATAGAATCATATTGGAAAATCCTGAGAGCTGCTTTGTTTATTTGTTATTTTATTTATTTATTTATTTATTTATTGCGGAACTGGGAATTGAACTCAGGCCCTTGAGCTTGCCAGGGAAGCGCTTATTCCACTGAGCCATCTCCCCTTTTTTTTTTTTTTTCCGGAACCGGGGATTGAACTCAGACCCTTGCACTTGCTAGGGAAGTGCTTATTCCTTTGAGCCATCTCCCCAGCCCAGTTATTTGTTTTTTGAGACAGGATCTTGTGTTTTTTTTTTTTTTTTTTTTTTTTTCCCCCCTTAGGATCTTGTTTTGTAGTCCAGGCTAGCCTTGAACTCACCATGTAGCCAAGGCTAGCCTCAAACTCATGGCAATCTTCCTGCCTCAGCCTCCTGAGTTCTGGGTTGAGAGCCTCTTCTTGCTCTCTTTTTTTCTTCTTTCTCTCTTTATCCCTCTCTCTTTTCTAGCCTTCTTTCTTTTCCTTTTTTTTTTTTTCTGACTCAAAACAAAAGCAATCATGAATTATCAAGACCCAAAGGGGGACTTCTTTGCTTTATTCCAACTGGTCACTTGATCCTTGAATGCCTTTACTGTTTTCAGCTGTGGAAGACACTGATTGCTCTTCAGGAAGGTCATGTGCCTCCCACCTGAACTTCTGCCCAGCGAATGGGACACCATCAGACACCAAAGGGAGCAGGATGTGGAACCAGGATTGGTGTGTTAGTTCAATCCTCATAGGAATTCACCAGCCTATGGGGATCCAACAGGGCAAGAGAGTTTCTTCAAAACAGATGTTCCGGGGCTGGAGAGATGGCTCAGTGGAATAAGCGCTTTCCTGGCAAGCGCAAGGACTTGAGCTCAATCCCTGGTTCCACAAAAACAACAACAACAGATATTCCATGGCATATCTCAGAGTTCCTGGACTGGAGTCATGATGAAGTCTGCTTACATGGGCATTGGAATGAGAGGGGTACAGCTCATGCAGCCAAGGCACTAGCTTTGTATGCCTGGATACGTCTGCAGGTTTTGTCATGGCCCAAGGCGGCCTTCAGTGCCCCCTTTCTCCATTCTTTTGCAGAGATCAGGTGCAGGACAGCCGTCATGCAAGGTTCCCCTACCGAACCCTTTCTAGTGTCCCCAAGACTTTCTTTAGGAGCATCATTGAGAACACCTGTGGCCACCCGTTTCCCCACGATTTTTGTCAGACTCACTGTCTCAGAGCAAAGTGTTTTACTCTGTTACTTGGCAAACAGTTCCCCACCTGATCTCTGTGGAGAATGTAGTGCTGTCTTCAGCCCAGAGTGAGATAACCTTAGATCCCTTGATAGGCGTGCAAATAGCAGCAAAGGTGAAAGAGTGAGGAGGGGCGCGAAGGTCACCTGGGCTGTGACAAGCCCTGTGCATGTATCCAGGCGTGCAAAGCTAGTGCCCTGGCTGCCTGAGCTGCACTCCTCTCATTCTGATGCCCATGTAAGCAAGACTTCATCAGGACTCCAGTCCACTGATGTTTCAAAGGGAGCCGCACATTGTAGGCCAGCAGCTTAACCAGATAGGGAGCGGCCTCTTCCTCCTGAGGCAGTGCTCAGGGCTTCATGTCACAGAGAGACAGCAGGGTGCCTCATAGCTCATTCAGTCCCTGCGGGCCCGTGATGTACAGCTCCCTTTGAGATATCCCTGAAAGTCTGTACTCAGATAAACTGTGTGTGATAAGAAGCAAGTAAGACAGCAGGCCCAATGCCACCGAAGCAGAGATGTGGAAGTAGAGGGCAGGGACACATCATCCTGGTGGGAAGATGCAGGGACAATCCTAACACATCATCCCAGGGCATCTGAGGAAGCCACCGGTCATTTATCAGAAGCTACGTTTTCAAATCTATGTATGATTTTGGCTGAAGTATTTTCTGTGAATTGCAAACTTGTGTGATGTTAAAGCTATTCAATAAAGTGTTAAATACTGTTTAAGCACATTTATTTTAAAACTCCACATGCCAACATCACGCCAAATAGGAAAAAAAATGAAAGTGTTTTCTCTCTAAAAAAAAAGAAATGAGACAAAGATGTCCACTAGCACCAGATAGGACTTGAAATTTTAGCCGTGTTGATTAGGCAAGAGAAAAGAATGAGGGAGCGGCTGGTGAGATAGCTCAGGGGTCTAAAGCACCTGCTTAGGCAAGCTTAGGCAGCCACAGGGGACTGAGGTTGAGGTTTGATCTCCAGCGCCACATGCCATGCCAGCCCCACCCTCAGGGCAGGCTGAGCTGCTCTTTCCCCCAAAAAAAGAAATGAATGAAGAGGATACAAATAGGAAAGCAGAGGTCAAATATCCTTATTTATAGCTAAGATGAACTTACACTTACAAGACCCTAAAGAGTCTACCTAAAGACTTTTAGAGCTAATAAATTCAACAAAGTAGCAAGACAGAGAATCATGATTAAAGAATCAATAATTTCCTGTACACCAATAATGAACAGCCTGAGAAAGAAATCAGGAAAACAATTCTATTCATAGCAGCTTAAGAAAAAAAAAAAAA